TAGCAAGCGCTCTGGATACACCACCCCTCCAAATCCCTTCCTTTTACCACTTCCATGCATTCGGCCTGACTTCTAACTGGCAGCATCAGAAGGCTTTCTCTGCAGTCACACACAGTCAACCGGAAAAGTGAAATAATTAACAGCCCTAACCAATGAGTGTGGGATTTGGGGTATAAACACTCCAGCGCCCTTGCCGCTCTGGTGACACTTGTTTTATACCGGTTCCAAGACTTTCCCAAGAAGATTTAACATAAGGCAATTGGAACTTTCTTTTTTCCACCCGCACAACCCAACCAGGGCCGGGGACAAACTGCAACCAAGGTACACGCCCTTAGCAGGAACCGAACCCAGGTCTCTCTGGACCACAGGCCGCCGCTCTAACCACTGAGCTAAACTGGCCAGGGCGCAACTGGAACTTTCATACTCAGCTAAAGGGAATGTCAAAATGTGCAGCCGCTTGGGAAAGCAAGTCTGGTAGTTCCTCAGAAGGTCAAACATAGTTGTCATAGGACTCATCAATTCCACTCCTAGGTATGTAGCCAAGATAAATGAAAACATACGTCCACTCTAACTTTACATGAATGTTCATGGCGCTATGACTCATAATAGCCAGAAAGTAGAAATAACCTAAATGTCCATCCACTAGTGAATGGATAAATAAATGAGGTCTATCCATACAATGCAATATTATTTGGCTATTAAAAAGGAATGAAGTACTGATACATGCCACAACATGGGTGAAGCTTAGAAATAAGTTAAGCTGTGTGAAAGAAGCCACACACAAAAGAGTACATATGGTAGGATTCCATTTATATGAATGTCAAAAGAGGCAAACCCATAGAGACAGAAGGTAAATTAGTGGTTGCCAGAAAAGAGGGCAATGGAGAGAGAATGCTAATGGGCACAGGGTTTCTTTTGGGGGTGATGAACATGTTATGGAATTAGATAGTGGTGATGGCTATACAATCTGTGAATTTACTAAATCCACTGATTTGTACATTGTAAACGATGAATCTTATGGTGTGTAAGTTTTTTTCTTTCTCTATTTTTTCTTTATTAGAGAGAGAGAGAGAGAGAAACATCAATGAAAGAGAACATCGGTTGGCCGCTTCCTGCATGCCCCCCACTGGGGATCGGGCCCACAACCTGGGCATGTGCCCTGACCAGGAATCGAACCAGCAACCTCTTGGTGCATGGGTCGAGCTCAACCACTGGGCAACACGGTCCAGGATATAGATATAGAGATAGATAGATAGATAGATAGATAGATAGATAGATAGATAGATAGATTGATTTGGGGGCGGGGGGGGGTACGTGCCCTTAGCAGGAACTGAACCCAGGACTTTCTGGTCCGCAGGCCGATGCTCCAACTGCTGAGCCAAACCAGCCAGTGGCCAGGCTATAGTGTGTAAGTTTTATCTTAGTTTGTTCAGGCTGATAAAACTGCACACCACAGAGTGGGTGGTTTATAAACAACAGACATTTATTTCTCACAGTTCTGGAGGCGGAAGTCTGAGATCAGGGTGCCAGTGTGGTCAGATGAGGGCCTGTGTGAATATCCTGTCCCACAACAGTCTTTCTGCCAATGGTTTTAACATCCACTAAACATTTTTGTCTGGATCACTCATTCTGTCGACTTAAAGAGTGCTTTTCTGTCCAGCTGGTGTGGCTCAGTGGTTGAGCATCCACTTATGTACCAAGAGGTCGCCGGTTCAATTCCCCATCAGGGCACATGCCCAGGTTGTGGGCCTGATCCCCAGTGGGGGGCATGCAGGAGGTGGCCAATAAATGCTCTCTCTCTCCCTCTCACTTCCTCTCTCCCTAAAATCCATAAAGAAAAAACAAAATTTTTTTAAAAAGAGTGCTTTTCCATGTCTAGCCACCCTTCCACAGTTATTCATTACAGCTGTCCATCCACCTGTTTGTTTAACCTTTTTATTTTCGTATCATTATGAACTCATGGATTTTCTCTATTGAAGTAAAATTTACATAAAATCCACCATTTAAAACTGTATAATTCAGTGGCATTTCATATTTTCATAATGTTCTACAGCCACCACCTCTATCTAGTTCCCATTTTCACCACCGAAAAGATTTCCTACCCACTGAAGGCTTCACTCCCCCCAGCCCCTCCCCCACTCCCTGCGAACCACTCATCTGCTTATTGTCTCCGTTGATTTATCTATCCTGGGCATTCCGTACAAATGGAATTATACAATATCTGGCCTTTTGGGTCTGGCTTATTTCACTGAGCACCATGTTTTCAAGGTTCATCCATACTGTAATATGTATCAGAACTTAGTTCCATTTTACAACTGGAAAATATTCCACTATATGTATTACCATATTCTATTTACCCATTTTTTAGTTGTCGGGCATTTGGATTGTTTCAACTTGTTTTCTAGTATAATGTTCTTATAAACACATGTGTGCCTTGGCCTGAGTGTCTGTGACAACCCAAGAGGGCCTCACCAGGGCCTGACCATGCTGGCACCCTGATCTTGGACTTCCAGCCTCTCGAACTATGAGAAATGAATTTCTATCATTTATAAGCCACCCAGCCTAGGACATGTTGCTAAAGCAGTCCAAAGGGATAAAGGCCCATTTGTTTGAGTGCCATTTACATAGATTATTTTTATTATTTTATTCTTGAAACTATTCATTGCGATGCTCATATTATTTTATATTTGACTAGTGAAAGCTCCTTTCCATTTTCACTTTAAAATAAATTTCTAACTATACAAGTAACACATGATGCATCTCTTTAAGAATTAAAACAAAGGCCCTGGCCAGTTTGGCTCAGCGGTTGAGCGTCAGGCTGCGGACCAGAGAGTCCCGGGTTTGGTTCCCGCTAGGGGCACGTACCACACACACACAAAAAAAATTAAAACAAAGTCTTCTTGGAACTACCCCCATCCATGGCCCCTCCCAAGAAAAAGAAATTTCAGTTTGAAGGCATCTTTCCAGACTTTTCTCTGTGCATTTATATAACATGCATGTCCTGAGAAAACATAGTATTTTGTGAGTTTTTTTCTTATGTAACTGATACTACATCATATGATGACGCTGTAACTTGCTTTCTTTTAATCTAACAATATGACTTAGTAAAATTGATGAAATTGGTGGGTTCTTTAAAACACACCAGATATGGTCAGATCACCTGAAGAAGGGGAGGAGAGTTGCGCCTGGACCTTTCCACGTGTTATCTCTCACTCACTCGCACAACACTTCCAGGTAGGTATTATTATCAGTACTCAAACATTTAGAAAATTAAATTTCAGGGAAGTAAAGCAACTTGCCTGAGTAACTAGCACCGGAAGAGCTCTCCATGATTATGTATTGAACAAGTGAGCATGATTAATGGCCGAGCTGGGGATTTGAACCACCTGAAGGCCAGTTTGGTGCCTGTCCACACAGAACCAGGAATCAGGGAGGCAATCTGTGCATTTGTAGCAGCTGTTGCTAGAAGCTGGCGTGAGGCAGGGGACAGATGATAATTGCCTGCTTTCAGCAGTCCTCGGGAAAGAGCTCTCTCCAGGAGGATAAAATCTTCTAGGGCTGATTGGGAAAACACCTCCAGTATTTGGTAAACATGACATTTGGAAAAGGGGCTGTTTTGAATACCCAAGCTAATAATAGTCACCTGATAGCGATTTCCTACAAGCTAGCTTATCACACGTCTGGCAGTTTGTCCACCTTCCGTTTGCTGCGTGCATGATGTCATTAGCCCAGGCAGCTGTGGTAATGTATACTGCAGCATATGTGAGTTAGCACCATAACCCTTGCGTCTCCAGGCCTTGGAGGAGACTCTCACAGGAAGATACTTGCTTGTAGTGCTAAAAGGGCCTTTCACTCCGAAGCTCCATCCATCACTGAGACTGAGTCTGTATCCCAATTCTGCCATTCAGGAGCTGGGTGACTTTGAGTAAGGCATGTCACCTCTCTGAATCTCAGGGGAAGTTGTGTGGATAAAGGAAGAACTTGCTGGCAGAGGAGCCCTGCATAATGGCTTGTAAATAACTGAGACTCAGGAATAACGTAGAGAGCCACCTTCCTCCATGCCCTCCCAGGAGTGACTTCCCCTGGGGACAGCTGGACCAGGACTACAACGGGTACTGAAGATGGTCAGCTGGCTCTCCGTGTACTGTTCTGGGGAGCTCAGGAAGCACAATGTTTGCTAAAAAAAAAATCTGGTCTTCTAGGGAAAGAGCTCTCTCTCCAGGAGGACAAACTCTTCCAGGGCTGATTGGGAAAACACATCCAGTGTTCAGGAAGCACAATCTGTTTGCTTGGTCATCCCAACAACCCCAACCCAACCCATCACCACCCTCCCACCCGCTGGGCTGTTTTATCAATAATAACCATGAAATTGATGTTTACCCTCTTTTGTCTTGAAAAGAGAATTTCATTTAAAAATAATAAAGACAAAGGGGGCCCATCGAGGTGCTGTGTGTGTGCTTGAGAGCACAAATACTGTAGCCCTATGTGCTTGAAGTTCTCTTTAAGTGCAACATTTGTATCGGATTTCATTTTCTATGAGACTCTAAGACTGAGATTCCTCATTCGCCGGGTATTGGGGACGTGATGAGAGGACGAATGAATGAAATAACTACCAGCTATTATTAATAAAGAGTACTAAAAGCAAAGGTGATAGCAATCATTAATAGCTGTCATGCTGGTTAAAAGCACACGCTCTAAAGCCCTATTACCCAATCTGGCATCAAAGCCTCTCCACTCAGCACCTGGGTGCCCTCGGGCGCGTTATCTAACGGCCCCCCCACACGTGGACCGGTGCCACACAGGCAGCCTCCCCCGCCCCGCCCCCAAAACCCGCGCAGGTGACAACTGCACCTCCTCGGAGCGCAGGCCTAGAACTGCGCCTGTCCCGGGGCAGCCTCTGCACGCTTGCGCGGCGCGCCGGGTGGGCGTGGCCAGGAGCCTGGCGGTCGGTCGCACGCAGAGGGGGTGGGGCTGCGCCTGCGCGGGGCGCCTACCATGGCGGCAGTCTGAACCCTGCAGCGAGAGGGCTCGGTGGGACTTCAGGCTGCGGGCTGTAGCAAGTAAACCCCTGGGAGAGGCGGCGGGCGGGAAGGGGACCTCCTGGCATCAGCCCCCGTCTTGAAGTCCTGCCTCTGACCTGAAGCCCAGCACCTCACTCTCGGCCCCAGATAGAGCGAGCACAGGACAAACTGTTGGTGATCGTTGTGTCAATCTAAGCAGTGAGTATGTGTGTGGTTTGTTGTACACCAACGAGACAGACCACACTCAGACTGCGAACTGGGTTCAAATATAGAGAGCTTTATTAGCCCATCGGCAGCTGTCCCATCCTACCCCGAGGAGAGAGCAGCCCCAAGCTCAGGGGGAGGGTTGCTTATATAGTTGTCTCAGGCCCTGTTAAGGAATTTGGGCTAAGGGTTTGCGAGCAAGCAAGCAGTGCAGAAGCAGATGTTTGCCGTTAGCCGTTATGCCTGAGGGAGCAAGCAGTTTCGGTGTACACAAAGCAATGGTTATCTATACAATGCAGTGGTCATCTATTAACTTTAGCAGCTAGTTCTTGCTATTCTCTTAACACCCAGGGGGTAAGGTTTGCCTAATGGAAAATTTTTCTGTACAATCACATAGCATGGGTTTGTCCTTTGCAGTTGTTTATACGCTGTACCCCCAACTCTCTTGTCTGTTTGAAAATCTTCATAATAAAGTTGGAAGAAATTAAAAGGGAAAGAAAACTGTATACCATAAATAAGAGACTGTGAAAATGAACACTGTGCAAACGAAATAATACAATTCTAGCTAGATGCTTTTTTCCCTTGCCCAGGCTCGGAGACTGGAATATAATGAACAAAATAGATCCAGAGTCTTGGACGTAGGGAACAGAGTGACCAGCCTCAAAGGGAAGGGGGGCGTGGGGTGGATGGGGAGAGATAAACCAAAGAATGTATATTTATATATGCATAACCAATGGATATAGACATTAGTGTGTTGGGGGGATGTTAAGGAGGGACAGCTATTAATAAAAATTAATTAATTAAAAAATAAAAGAGCCCTGGCCGGTTTGGCTCAGCAGTTAGAGCTTCAGCCTGCGGACCAGAGTCACTGGTTCAATTCCAGTCAAGGGCATGTACCTCTGTTGGGTTTTGACGCCTAGTCCTGGTTGGGGTCATGAGGGAGGCAACCGATGGATGTGTCTCTCTCATATCGATGTTTCTCTTTCTCTCCCTCCACCCTCCCCTCCCACTCTATCTGAAAATCAATGGAAAAATATCCTGTGGTGAAGATTAAAAATAAATAAAAGAATTGAAGAAGAGCCCTGGCCGGTTTGGCTCAGCAGAGTGTTGGCCTGTGGACCAGAGAGTCCTGGGTTCAGTTCCCACTAGGGGCACATACCAAAATAAAAAAGAATTGAAGAAGAAAGCACTTCCCCCAGGTGATACAGAGCTATTGACCACCTGGATGGGGTGTGTTTACTATACACTTCCCAGCCCTAAGGACCTGTTGTCCACTTTCAGGTGCTGCTGTTCTGTGAGTAACGTGGAGTTCGGGCCATGGTGGCTGGCTCCCACCCCAACCATGGACGAGGTCACCTTCAAAAGCGACACTGTGCTCTCAGACGTACACCTCTACACCCCCAACCAGAGACACCTCATGGTGCGGCTAAACAGCATGGGGCAACCCGGTAAGGTCCTGGTTGTGTGTGGACAGACCTAGTATGTGTGGATCCCATTTTGTTTTGTCATACTCATTTTGGGGGGTAAAGATTGGGAAGACTGGATTAACTGTTATCATCACACCACTTCTTAAGTGCCTTTCTTTCATTGAGTAAACTGCTTTGTGCCAGACCCAAAACTTGATGCTGGGAATGCAAAAGTGAATGGGCCGACTTCTGCTTCTGCCTCAAGTCCAATAGGGAGACAAGGCATGGGAGCTCCATCTGCACACTGCCCTCCATCCCCACTGCCCCTATCCCAGTCCAGTGCCCATCATCCCTTGCTGGCTGCCTCCAGCTCCTCCCACCAGGACTCCCTGGCTTTTCCCCTGTATTCTCCTCCATTCATCTCCCCAGAAGCTAAGGGAATCTCTTGAAAGTGCATATCACAACACTGTCCTGATTTAGACCCTCCATTGGCTTCCCCTTGCTCTTAAAGTAAAATCTGGCTCCTCGGCTTGTCCTGCAAGGTCCAGCTCACCTGAGCTCCTGCCTGTGTGTCCACACTTATTTTCCTCTCCCTTATTTCTCTGTGGCCGCAGTCTGCTCTTTTCTGCCCCGTGCACACTGCATATACCTTTTTCCCTCAGTGCCTTTGCTTTTGCTGTTAACTCTGCCTAGACATTCTTTCCTCTTGGCCCTGGCTCCTCAGATGTCATGTCTGACAGGGCCTCGATGGCCACTCTCCCCAGCTCTAGTCACTGTGTATTAGTTTGTTATTCTGGTGTGACTAATAACTCCCCCTTCCCTCATGTTTCAATTTGGATTCTGGATTCTGGAAACTGAGGCTCAACAGGTGAGTGACTTGCCAAGGGTCAGACAGCCTAGGGAGATGGAGCACTCCAGCCTGGGGCTGTCTGCTCAAGTCCTTGCACTTCCCACCTCCAGCCTGCCTCTCCTGGCCCATATAATCTTACTGAAACTTGTCCCGATGACTTTCTGGCCACCAGACGGAGAGGGACACTTGGTATCCTTGGCCTGTCCTCCAGACCTTAAGAAGTGGAAGAGGGTAGTGAGAAGGGGATCAGCTTAGGAGTTGAGCAGACTAGATGTGAGTCTCGCCTTGGCCTTAGCCACCTTCAAAGCTGTATGGCCTTGTCAGCTCACTTAACTTCTAAGCCTCAGTTTCTGTGTCTCTTAGATGGCTCCATTACTACTATCTTCATAGCAACAGTGAGGATTAAATGAGATAATGTGGGCCGAGTGCCTGCATTGTGGACGCTTATCCAATGGTAGCTGCCCTCCATGGTGGCCATGGCTGCTTTGGTGGCCCCAGTGTCCTGGCTGAATCTAACAGGCCTTTCCTACTGGCATTAGTATATCACTACCTGGCCTTTAAAACTCTTTCCAGAAGTCATGTTTTCTGAAAGGAGAAGAAGGGAGAGAAAAAAGAGAGCTGGAAATATTCTCTTTTTGTATTTTGTCTTCCAGTTTTTCTGTCCCAGTTCAAGCTTCTGTGGAACCAAGACTCTCAGATAGACTCAGGAACTGAGGGTGGTGATTACAGAGATGATCCCACAGAAGGAAATTCTGCTGGGACAGGCAGCCCCCAGCCCCCTCCTGGGAGTGGCTGCAGCAGCGAAGGTGTTTCCCTCCAGACCGGTGCTGACACCACTGGCCAGGAAGGGGCAGGAGTTCAGCTGGACGAAGATGGGGACTTAGATGTCTTGAGAAGACCACGAGCTGCCTCTGACCCCGACCCTGCATGGCCTCCGAGAGACAAGGTACACCCCATGATTCTAACGCAGGAAGAAGATGATGTCCTGGGAGACAAAGCACAGGAGAGCAGCACCCACACTGTCATCAAAATAGGTAAATAAAGGTGTTTCTCGTCTGCCACCAAACCAGCACCACAGTGTTGTTCAGGTCACATGCGTTTGAGCATTGGCTGTGTTCAGGCCCAGCCAGGGTGTTGTAGCCATTAGCCATCGCCTACTCCAGGAAACCTTGCTGCTACTGCCTCCTGCGTTGGTGTTCTGCCCCAGCCTGGGGCGCTGGTGGTGTGGGTCGTGGAACACTCGGCTAGCCTGGCCAGCAACAGGGAGCCATGAGAGATTCTGGAGCTAGAGTGTGGCAGAGGGGCAGGGAGGTAGGTCCAGAATTAATCTGTAAGAGTCTTGTGGGTCAATCAGATGGACCAGAGCGAGGAGCTAGGAGCCAGGTAGGGAAGGAGGTGACAGGGTGGCAGGAGAACTGGGCTGGGAAAGAGGCTTCAGCAGGCAGGGTCAAGAGCATCCACCACCCAGGCATAGGCTTGGAGCAGGGGCTTTGGTGACGCCAACATTTCAGATCCCTGGAAATGCCAGGAGTGATAAAGATCTAGGGCAGGCCCTGGCCAGTTTGGCTCAGCAGTTAGAGCATCAGCCCACAGACCAATGAGTCATGGGTTCGATTCTGGTCAAGGGCATGTACCTCGGTTTCAGTTCGTCCCTGGCCCTGGTTGGGGTCATGCGGGAGGCAGCCAGTCAATGTGTCCCTCTCATGTCGATGTTTCTCTCCCTTTCTCTCCCTCCTTCCTGCTCTATCTGAAGATAAATAGAAAAATATCCTCGAGTGGGGATTAAAAAAAAAAGATCTAGGGCAGGAAGTGAGCCAGTGCTGGTTAGACACCTGTCATGTTCTGATACTTTACCTACATCACCTCGTGTAGTCTTCACAGGCCCCTCTGAGGGGGAGTACAGATGAGGACATGACAAGCCCCCATGCCGCTTAGTGGTGAGTCCATGTGATCTGTCTCCACAGCCAGGTCGCTTGCCAATCCCAGCACAGTTCATTTTAGGGAGGGGAGCTCTGTTTTGAGTCTGTTCTTTGAGATCCAGGGTACCTGCTGGTGCTTGAGGACCCAAGTAAACCTGGGCACTGGCCTGGGTGGGGACTTGGAATCCATTGGGGCACTCTCAAAAAACAGACGGACACAACAGCAGCTCTGCTGTCCACCTGTCCATCTGTTCAGCAGACAGTTATTGAGTGCCTGCTGGTACTAACAAGTACCAGATGTGGAATTCACACCAGAACCTTGTTCTGTATGTTCCATGGATTACCTCTGATCCTCACAGCCCTTCCAAGGGTGAATATTCCCAGTTCACGGAGGGGGGACTGAGGCTCAGAAACGTGGAGAAACTTGTCAGTTCCATGAATCATACCCAGGTCTGTCTGATGCCACAGCCCATGTTCTTACCCACATCATGTGGTCAGTACCTTGCAAATCTCTGTTCTGTGGGGAGAGGGGGGCAGAGGTTGATGACGGCTCATTTCACTCTCCGTCCTCACTTGGCCTCCCTGAGGAGGGGAAGGGCAGACTTGGTTATTTCTGAAGTGTTCTGGGAATTTACCATTCTGCAAGCTAAGAATCATGTCCCATTGGGACAGGGCTGGGGGTGTCCTGCTCCCCAGCTGTCCATTTTCCAGTCTTCCAGTGCCCAGAAGTTCACCTTTTCAGCTCACTGTCAGCGGGGCCCTGCCTGCCATGAGGGCAGACAGTGGAAGGTAATCAAGTGCTTGAGTTGAAGCCGTAACTCCCTAATTATTCCCTCTGCTGCCAGAGCACCTTCATCTATGAAATGTGACGCAGAGGACGGGGTCTTAGATTCTGGTATCCTACAGAGTTGGGCTGCTGCCCCTCACAAGCCAGGTGACCTTGACAAGTGTCTTGCCCACCCAGAGTCTCGGTTTTTACACCTGTGAAATGGGGTCAGGGATACTGCCCTTCCTGGCTTTGGTGATAATTTAATCAGTAATGCCCAGAAAGTGCCTACTAAGGGGCCTGGCACAGGGTAGATGCTAAACAGATGTCATTCTCCTGACCATCCTTTTTCTCTGATCCATGAACCAAGCCATTTTTTTCAGGTTATGGGGCCTATTTGAGAAACTGATTTTTTTTTTAACTTCCCTGGGGAGGAGAATGTGTTTTCCATGCTCTTCCAGGGGATTATCAGACACCTAAAAGGTTTATCCATGGTCCTGCTAGAAATCCATAGACCCAAGGTTCAAAGTAAATTATGATCAATTTTCCTCATTTTATAGATAAGGAACTGAGACCCAAAGAGAACTCCGAAGAGGCAGGGCTGGAACTGAGGCTGTTGGATTCCGAGTGTCTTTACCACTGACTGTGTGAATTGGGCAAGTCCTTCAACCTCGCAGGGCTATTTCTTTGTCTGTAAAATGGGGATAACCTCCTCTGGTTGTGAGGAACTAAGTAAGCGAGACGGTGTGCGAAACGCTCATATCACAGTGCCTAGCTCGTAGTAGGTGCTCAATAATGTGAGACACTGTCAGCTTGAATTGATTTGAGTGGGGAGAAGGGAGACTGGCTGAGGAAGAGAGCAGTTTCCTGCAGGTCTAGAGACGACCAGCATAGGGACAGGATACAGAAGAGATCTAAAACAATTGGTCTCACCTCATCTGCTAACCTTCGAGTTTCTCATGGGTGTGTTCATCAGTCTGGGCTTTTATGTTCTTATGATGCCACTGGAATTACTTAAATGTAAACTGTGGCTTTCTGCTGGGGCAGGAGCGCCCCCTCCCCGTCCCCGCCCCCAGCCCGGGCTCGGAAGTCCATTAAGCCCCGTGAATGAAGTGATGATGTATGTCTGCATTTTGTAAAAGAGCAAACTGCGGCTCGGGCCCTGAGGAGTTCCGTGACTCAGGTCACCCAGCTAGAACGCAACAAAAACCGTTCCCACATAGATCTGTCGGAGCCCAGTCCACGTTGTCTCTAAAGGGAAGCCAGTCAACCCCTTGAATACAGCTGGAAAACAAAACCCCCAGAACCCCTTGGGGAAAATGACCAAGTGTGACTGAGATCGTGGTGGTAGGGTGCCCCTGGGGCCAGGCGGTCTGGAAAGAGAGGGTGGGAGACTGGAGGACACCCCCGTGAGGGAGATACTAGCCACACTCGGCTGCAAGTCTGGGGAAGGTGAGTGGGCAGGGCTGGGTGCAGCTGGCACTGAGGGTAGAGCAGGACTGTCAAAGCCAGGACCCCGGAGGTCCTTTCCCTGCTCCCCTCCACACGCACAGCCTTCAGCCTGCCAGGTGAGTCCCTGTGTTTTAAACCCTGTCCCTGGGCACCCAGTCAAGGCCTCCCCCACTTTGAGAGAAACATCTCTCCGTTTGGGGAAGAGGCAGGTGGACAGCAGGCAACCTGGCTTGGACCCCACGTCTGCCACTTGCCGGCTCTGTGACCTGGGCAGCCTGCTCCCCTTCCCCAGCCTCCTCTTCATCTTTAAGCTGACACTTGAACCTGTTTCATTGGGTGGTTTGGAGGATTAAATGAAATCTTACTTACAAAGCACTTAGCACAGTGCCTGGCTTAGAGAAGATGTACCTTTCCTATAACTTTTACAAATGTAGTGCCAAGCCTCCGTCACTCTCAGTGTGTTATCTGTAAAATAGGGTGGTGATAACTACCTCGCAGGGCCATGGTGAGGATCAAGTGAAGTCCCCATGTCCCCAGCCCCAGGTCTGGCTCAGGAGAGATGTCCATCCAGTAAGGATTCAATGAGGGGACTCAGTGTCAGTGTTTCGGTGGACATAACGTTTATTCCACTTTCAAACCAAGTGGGTACATGCTGGGCTTCAGCAATCTCAAGTCCTTCCGAAAGCATATTTTACATATTTAACAGAAACTTATTCCAAACCACAATGTCAAATCCAGCCAAGATGCTGGTTGGCAATGCACTGACCACCTTTTATTCAGGGAGCAGATTCTAAGTCTACCTGAAGGGCAGAAATCTCCGGTCAAATTTGTTCCAGAAAAAACCCTCAGAGCAGTGGCCTGGTCCCCAGGAGGACTGCACACAGCCAGTCTCTCACCTGGCTTGGGGACAGACAGCTGCTGCCTTAGGTGAGCACCCAGGCAGAGCAGTTGGCTTCCGTCCTGGACGCCAGCTGTATGAAGAGCACTCGTCTGCAAACGTGGCACTGCCCTTGCCACAGTGAGATGCTCAGACCTTGAGTGCTTGAGGGACCAAAAACAAACAAGGGATGTGCAGGCTGCCCACCTCACCTCCGAGGGCAGGCCCTCATGGAGGGGAGCTCACCCACTACTTCCGACCTCACTTTCTGCTCCCCGCGCCTCAGGTCCTCGGTCCCACCACCTCTCTTGCTGTGAGCTTGTGGTTTGATTCTTGCAAGTCCAGAAAGCATGCGAAGCTACCCTAATGGCACGTGTCGTGTGTTTAAATGTGACAGCCATCTCCATCCCACTTAAAAACACAGGAGCCAGTGCTTATTTAACAGCAAAAATGTTTACCATCATTCCTCTCTCCCCTTGTTCTCATATTTCTGGTCTCTTCCCCCAACTGCCACCACCAAGTGTTATCCTAACATATTTTGTGCTTGAGGATACTTCTTATAGACTTCTCTTCCCCTAGAAAAGGATATACAATTCAGAGCTTATTTAACATAAAGTGTGGAGTGTGGGTGTGCATGTTTGATTAAGTTGAGCCAAGACCTGTTGTGACCCTGGTCTTCAGACTGTGGGGCAGAGAGAGCCAGCTATCTGAGAGTAAGCCCTGGTGCCTGGCCTGTGAGTGGCACTCGGCTGTCCCCTCCAAGTTGGTGGCATGGCCTTGTTTCTACTGCTCCTTGGATGCCCGGCCCCAGTACCTATCCCACCGTGTGTGCAGATTGCCATGCCCCTGGTCTGCCTGTGTTCCGTCCATCCCCATTTTCACAGTGGCCCTTTCTCTTTTGATTTCCATCCCGTCCAGAACACACCATGGCCACGCCCCTGGAGGATGTTGGCAAGCAGGTGGGTATGTCCCATCCACTTCCCATGGCCCTGGAGGGTCTCCCCGGAGCCTCACGTCGCCTGTTGTTCCTGTCCGTCTCCCTCCAGGTGTGGCGGGGGGCCCTGTTCCTGGCTGACTACATCCTGTTCCAGTGGGACCTCTTCCAGGGACGCACCGTGCTGGAGCTGGGGGCCGGCACGGGGTTCACCAGCATCATCGCAGCCACCGTGGCACAGACCGTGTATTGCACAGGTAACACCACCATCTCGGCCCGAGGGGAAGTCATCTCTTCACAAAGCATGCACTGACTGTAACAAAGCGAGAGAGTGAGTGGAAGTGGAGCTGGCTGCAGCTGGTTTTGCCATCCTGTCCCGTGGGTTTTCCCACACCCTCCCTTGTTTTCTCAGTAATGTTGGAATGACCCAGCGACACCCAGCCCTGGGCGGCCGCAGTTCCGCAGGTACCTCTCGTCCCACCCCGTGAAAGAGCAAACATCTCCAAAAACCACGAAGAATGTGCCTTTTATAAGGCTTGAAAACAAGTTGTTACCTTTTCCCCGATTATAGAAACCTTGCTTACTCATAGCGGAAAGCTTGTGGAGAACAGCAAATAAAAATTACTTGTAATTTTAGAATCCCCAGATCTAGTCAGCCGCATGCGGTTTATTGAGCACCTGCTGTGTGCAGCTACGGTTCCAGATGCAGGAGGTCCAGGCTGCTGTCCTCGGGAGCACACGTCTGGAGTCTGTATTTAACCGCATGTTTCTTTCATCGTCTCTTTTTCCCTTTGTGTGTACATATTCCCAAACAATAAGCCACAGTCAAACTATATATTCAGTACTGTAGCTTCCAAAAATATTGAAACACATTTTTAAGAGTATTTTCCCGGTCATTAAAAATTATTTATAAATAGGATTTTAATGACCAAGTAATGTTTCTTCTTTTTTGTTTTTATTTTGTTTATTTACCATTTTCCTTTTGCTGGGCATTTTGGTTGTTCCCACGGGTTTTGTTTATCTTGCACTTATCGATTGCACAACAATTAGACTAGATTCCTAGAAGGGAGTGTGACCTTTCTCAAGCTTTTGATACATATTGCCAACTGGTTTCTTTCATAACATCAGACTCACACAGACGTTGCTAAAAATGTTACAGAAAGTGCCCTGTGCCCTTCACCAGCTTCCTTCAGTAACGTCTTACATAACCACAGTTGATGGAAACCAGCACATTGAGCGTGGTGCTGTCAACTAGACACCAGACTTGCCAACGTGCTTTCAGAGAAAAAGTGTTAACAGTTTATAAGAGAGTATTAGCTCACCAGGTAAGTATTATTATGTGTATAATCTTAAATGTCTACTAGTTGAAAATGGTATCTGCTGAGAGGTTTGCATTTTACTGGCTCCTAGTTCACGTTTTCATGGGGTGTGTCTTGCTTCTGAGATAGGAAAGGGGGAGTTAGGGATTGCCTGGGGTCTGGGCATACTTCGATATCCTGAGTTAGCCTGTCTGGAGTCTGCAGGCAGCCACTATTTGAAGCTCCTTGACAATTTCATGTAAATTACGATGAGCACTTTTCAGAGTTAAACCTTAATGCAACAGCCAGGGCTGTGTTCTGTGCCTAGTGCCGGTAGCAGGATGTCATCAAGCTGTCTCATCCTTGAGAGAGTCACCAGCGAGGAGAGAGCGTGCACTGGGATGGCACGTCACAGTTAGCAGTGACTTGCCCGTACATCAGGACCTGCTCGCAGCTTCACGGTGGCCCTGGGCCGTCGCCAGGAAGTGTGTTACCACCCCTCCTGCTGAAGTGATAGGAACCCACCCTCCCGGTCAGGGTCGCAGGTGGCTGGGGACGTGGATGGCAGTGAGTCACGCACAGGAGCGTGCCTCCAGCCTGTTTGAGTCTGCCCTGCGGGTCCATTAGTCACATCCAAACACCCTTCTGACTCGGGTCAGTTTTCTGGTGTGTCCAAGTTCGAGCCTGGATTGGGAGTCAGAAACTCAGGTTCAAATCCTAGCCCTTGCGCTTGCTAGTTACGTGACTGCTCGAGTCCCTCTTCTGTGAGGTGGGCACCGTGACAGACTCACAGGTGTTAGAAACACTCAGGGTGGACTCCAGGAAGTGCTGTGCAGGTTTCATAGACTCAGAAAAATGTAGAAAAGGGGGCTCTCACCCTTCCCTCTGACATGCACGCAGAGTCTGTCTGCACCGGGATGATCATCTCTATTTAAAGAAAAGTTCCTTCAGAAGAGCCTTAAGGCCCTGGCCGGTCTGGCTCAGCAGTCAGAGCATTGGCCCGCTGACCAGAGAGTCCCGGGTGCGGCTCACACTAGGGGCCCGTACCAAAAACAAAAACACAAAGAGCTTTAAGGTGCATGTTTAATTTTGGCAGTAAAGCACACGTGAGACACTTCCGTCTCGGTTTTGCACGTTTCTGTAGTCGAGCTGTTGGTACCTGCTCTCTCCAGGCAAGACCACGGAGATAAAAGTGTCGTAATGGCTGGCGCTGTATGGCATGCCCTCTGTCGTTGCAGATGTCGGTGCAGATCTCTTGGCCATGTGCCAGCGAAACATTGCCCTCAACAGCCACCTGATTGCCCCTGGAGGTGAGGCCCAGCGGGTCTTCTGCCTGGGAGGGAGGTGTCTGTTTGACAAATGGGACAAACACCCAGGACTGTGACCCTGGGAGACGGGGTTCCACCTGCTTCCCTCTGCACCCCATGAATTCCGGGAGCAGACATAGTCTTAGCTTCACGTGGTTTCAGATCCAGGTGATGCTGTCCCTCTGTCAGCTCCTCCCCACGCCCACCACCATGTCCTAATGCAGCCCTCTCCCTCCTGGACGTTGACGTGTCCCCAGCTTCTTGTCTGACCCGCCACACTGCCCTCCTTGTAACATCCAGAGTGACCTTTCTAGATGCAAGCCTGACCTCTTCAGGAGGTAAAGTCTGAGCTCGTCCTCTGGCTCCCGAACCTCCTGCTCCGGCCCCTGCCTGCTTTCCTGCCTCCTCTCTGGTCGTCCCCTGCAGCCTGCATTCAGTGAGCCGAGCACTCGTGTCCCACGCTCTTCCCTTCGTGGGAAGGCCCCCCATCTGCTCGATCGCCAGGCTGTGCACCACCTGCTGGAATGGCTGGCATGATACATGCCAGCGGCCACCCCACTGGCCCGCCTGTGTGCACCTTCCTCCTCTGCACAGCCCGGCGCACTTCTGCACCTTGTGATCAGGTCACTCCAGCTGCCGCATCGCTTAACGGCTTCCCGTTGCTCCAAGTGCAGAGCGATCCTTCGCTTGTCTGAGATCCTTCAGGGTCCAGCCCTGCCTGTGTGCAGCCCTCCCGCACACGGGCCCCTCCCTCCCAGCCATCCTGGCCTTGTGGAAGGTTTCCTCCCCTGGGCCAGTGCCCTCGGCCTGGAATGGGCTTCTCTCCTCTTCCTCCCTCAGTTTCTAATCAGGCTCAGATCTCCAGATGAGGTTACAGCCCCTAGCAGACACTCACGACACCTTGAGCATTGCATTTGACATCTGTTTATGCAACCAGTGGTGTCTGCCATCCCGTTAGCCCACATGCCCTACAAGGGCAGGTGCGGTCTGTGGTCCCCACTGCTCTGCTGTTGGTTGAGTCCCAGTGGACAGTGATCAGTGGACAAGGACTGGAAGGAAGAAGCAGGCATGGCTGCCTCCCCTGGGCTTCCCTGACAACCGCCTGACACGGGCTCCTCTTTCGTCCTCTGCACCTGGCACATCCCTTTGACGCTGCCCGAACCACTGCCTGGTTGGTGTCTGCTAACTTGCCAGGCTCTCCTCAGCTGCGGGTCCCCAAGGACGGGCACATTTCTCATACGTCTTTGTATTCCCTGTGTCTGGCATTGGACCTCATACTTAGCACTCACAGGATGCTGGATGGTGGGTGGGTGGGTGGGTGGATAGAAGACAGCATATGTAGGGATGAGTGGGAAGATAGGAAGAAGGGAGGGAGGGTTACAAGGGCGAGAGGATGGGGGGTGGGTAGATTTTGGTGTACAGCGTGAAAGTTTCTCTTTTTTCCTAATAGTTTATAGAGTTGGGGAAGTTCTGTTTGTGTTTTTACAGGCAGTGTGGTCAAGGTCAGAGAACTGGACTGGCTGAAAGACGACCTCTGCACAGGTGCGTGTCTTCCTCTCATGTCCCATTGGATTCGGTGGTTCCTGGGCCTGTGGCCTTGACTGACAGCACCACCCCGGCTGCTGCCACAGTCCACAGCTCACAGCAAGTTCCCTTTGTGGGCTAAAAGTAACAGGTGTCGTTCTTGGGCACCTGCTGAGTGCCAGGCACCTTCTATTCGTGTTATAATCGCACAGTACCGCGGTGCAGTGGGTGCGATGCTCCTTGAACGGAGCGGAGACCAGTGCTCGGGCGGTGCCCACCAGGGCACACAGCTGCTCCTTGCAGGGTCGAGGTGAGCCCAGTCTCAGAGCCCAGGGCTTGGACACCTCTGTGAGCAGTGGTGCTGGGCAGCAGCCTCCTTTGGGCCCCCTGCCCTCTGCCCACTGCCTACCCCAGGGGGCAATGACATGGCTTCAGGGCCCTGGATGAGGGTTTTCTAACTTCCTGTGCAACCATTTCAGACACGGACGCTTGCTCTTTCTTTGTATGGAAGCTTCTTTGCCCTGTAGGACATCAGGTGGGGAAAATTATTGCTAATTGAGTACCTGTTACCTGCCAAGCATGTGGCATAGCTTAGGTCCTGTCCCCAGCCATCCTCTGAGGGCACCATTCTAGTGTGGAACCTGAAACCTGGAGAGTGAAGGCCCCTTCTCGGGGTCACACTAAGCACAGGGGTCAGGAGTACAGGTCATGTTCTGCACAGGCTACTGGCAAGGCCAAGGGTGAGGCCAAACTGCACCTTCCCCTCTCTGGCTGTGGCTGCCTCCTTCTGGAAAGGACACCTCTTTCACTGTGGGTACCGCATGGGCCGCCGTGTCCCTGAAGCTGGGGAGCTGGGATTCGGGGCTGCCTGGCAATGCCTGCCGTGCGGAGCGGCCCCCGCCCCATTTCTCCTGAAGCCTCCCTGGGTCTCTCAGTGAGATCTCGTGGCCCACAGAGAGAGGAGGGAGCACACAGCACCCTTCCCTCTTTCACAGACCCTGCAGTCCCCTTCAGCTGGTCGGAAAAGGACATCTCCGACCTGTACGACCACACCACCATACTGCTCGCAGCCGAAGGTGAGCGCGCGCCCCTCAGCCAGCGTCCTCGCCCCGCGGCTCCACATGGTTCCCTATGTTTTGGGGCACCTTTCTGGGCGTCCTGCCAGGTTTCCACGAGTGTAGTTCTGGGAACAGTCGCTGCCGGGTGGACTGGGACTCGGCCCCTGGAGTCTGTGGGTCCTCTGAGGGGCTGCTGTGCTCTGTGATGTTCCCGACGCCTTGTTCCTTCCCTGTAGTGTTCTACGACGAGGACCTGACCAACGCTCTGTTTAAAACGCTCGTCCAACTCGCTCACAGACTGAAAAACGCCTGCGTGGCCATTCTCTCTGTGGAGAAGCGGTGAGCTCCACTCGGGCCCTACTGCATCCCGTGAGCCCGACTCCTGAGCGCGCTCATCAGCGTCGTCACTGTCACTCGTGCAGTCACGGCTGGTGTGTGTTCACACTCACTTACCCCCGTACCAGCCCCAGCAGGCACTGCCGTCCCCAGCTGTCCCATGAGGTGAGGAAGTCCGAGCGCGTCAACGGACCTTCCAGGCCACAGCTGGTCAGTGCGCGGTCAAGGGCCTGCATGCAGGCCCAGAGCTGAGCCACATGGCCGCCACACTCTGTCCGGGGCCTTTCTTCCTTCTGAACTTCCTCCGGGTCGCCATCGGTCTCTCCCGGTCCCTCAGGCCCCTTCCTCTCCCCGATGGAGACACAGCCCCTCCAGGACGTTTCCTCTCGAATATCCTGAAGCTCTCGGGCTCCTGCTGACACGGTGTCCCTCCTGCGACAGGTGCCCGGCTGGACACCTGTACAGTTCCCGCTGGGTCACAGTAGGCCACAACTGTTCTGAAGGCGGTTTGGAAAATGTATCAAAAGCTATCAATCCAGCCTGGCTGGTGTGGCTCAGTGGTTGAGCGTCGACCCCATGCACCAACAGGTCACCGGTTCGATTCCCAGTCAGGGCACGTGCCCAAGTTGTGGGCCCGATCCCCAGTGGGGGCATGCAGGAGGCGGTCAGTCGATGTTCTCTCTCATTGATGTTTCTATCTCTCCCATTCCCTTCCTCTCTAAAATCAATGAAGGACAAAAAAAAATTTTTTTTAAAGCCATCAAAGCAAACATAGTTACTGACCCAGCAATTCAGCATCTAGAAATTCAGCCTGTTGAGGCGATCACAGATCTGTACAGAGCCAGACACACGGGCAGGTTTGTTGTTTATCCCGATAAAGTCTAGGACCTCCTTCACGGCACACATGACCAGGGACCTTCACCTGGATTCAGAAAGGAAAAAAGTTGAGACAGGAACAGTCGAATACTGACTAGATATTTAATGGTAAAGAATTATTGAATTTGTTATAGGTGGAAAGAGCCTTTCTCTTTGCAAGATGCACACAGACATGTATGGAAGAGAGACTGTGCTGTCTGGCGTCTGCCTTTCCCTCTCGCGGACGGATGGCAGAGGCGACGGAGGCCGTGGGTTGACATGGCTGAGGCTGGGCAGCTCATTACCTGTTCTCGCTCTTTTAGGTCTTTGAAATTTGTCATCATAAAAGATTTTGGAAGGAAAAAGGAAAGAGGCAAAGAGTTTGAATTTCAAGTTAAGTCGTGTTGAAACTAGAGTGTAGAGAGGTGTGAGTGGCCAGGCTGGAGATGCTCTGAGGACTCATTTCTGCCGTCACCCCTCCAAGCCCCCCTTCCCAGCAATGTTCCTCCGCCCACCAGGTGCTCACAGGCCTCTGCCCTCCCTGTGTCCAGTCGTATGAAGAGTCATGGACAAGCCGTGCCCAGCTCTGTGCTGGGTGCCAGAGGTGGGGCGGGGGGAGGTGCCAGGAGGCACGCACACAGCCCCGGCCTCGGGTTGGTCTGCATCTACCTCTTGTGCCAATTTGTAGCTCCTCGGGGCCTTCTTGTCACCTTGGGCATGTGACTTCACCTCGCTGAGGCTCGGTTCACAGCTGTAAAATGGAGGTGGTGGCCACTTCCACCTCCCGGGCAGGGAGGCCAAGGGGAGGGAACCACTGTGCCTCCCGTGGTGAAGGGCGGTACGTGCTGCTTGTTTGCAGGCTGAACTTCACGCTGAGTCACCTGGACGTCACGTGCGAAGCCTATGACCACTTCCACGCCTCCCTGCACCAGCTGGAGAAGCTCCAGGATGGCCAGCTGCGCTTTTCGGTGGAGCGGGTGGAAGCCGCCTTCCCGCAGCGCCTCGTGTACGAGCGCATCCAGCAGCTGGTAGGTGCGGCCGCCGCCTCGGGCCACTGGTTGCTCCAGCGTGAGGCTGTTGAGCCCGGCAACATGCTCTCTTCAGTGAGCCTGTGGTAGGGTCCCCCCGCTCTTAGCAGTCACCATGTCCAGGGGGGCCTGCCAGATGAATCGTCAGCTTTTTGAGACTCCAGAGGAAGCAGGACCCAGGGCAGAAGGTTGCTGAGGAAGCAGGAAGGGGGCGGGGGACTTGGTTGGGCTGGAGATCTTGATGTAGGGACTGCATTGCTGATGACGACATTTTCACAGAGGACAGGTGCTGGCCTCTTGGGCCAGGCAGGCTTGTCTGAGCACAGGTGACCCTTCTGGCCCTGCACAGTGGGATTTTATCACCCTGGGCCTCCTAGTAACCATCCTGAGGACGACACCTGTGCCAGGCGCTGGGCTGGGCTTCTTCCATCCACTGCCTCAGTTTATCTGCGTAAGTCACCCCACCAGAGAACAGGCTGGGACTTAATCCTACAGCCATGTGACTGCTGATGACTGTTTTTAAACCCAGCACTTGGAGAGAATTTGAAAAGTCAAAATTACCCTTAAAAATTCTGTAACATTACCAGGAGCTGCATCCCTCGCCGGAAGTCATGTCTTCTGTGCTCTTTACCTTCGGGCCGTGGCCTCCCTTTCCTGGGTCTGTGGGGACCTGGGCCTGGTGCCAAGGGCGAACAGGGAGGAGGCAGCCCGGGCCCTCGCCCTCGCTCCTGTCTGTCCCAGAGCAAGCACAGCGGTTCGTTTGTGCGGTGGCCACTCATGAGGAGGCGTGTGTGTGACGGGATGTAGAGTCTGCTCCGACTCCCGCGACCCTGTGCATGGATGACGTCGTGTCCTGTCATCGGCCCCCTGCTCAGCCCCACGTGTGCCTACAGCTTCTTCGGGGAGTCAGCCCACCTTGTGCTTCCCTGCTCCCTTCTGAGTTTCCCAGCACTACTGTCTCTGCCCGAGAACCCTGCCCTCGGGATGCGCCCGGACAGGACAGCTCCGCCGTGTCTTTCTGCCCGCAGCGCTGTTTCAGGCGGATTTGCTCTGGGACCCACTTGTTCCTCTCTGGCGGTCTGGGCTGCTCGTAGACCTCTCGACACCTTATTTCAAATGAATCCTTTCAGTCTCCTGTCCAACTTTCCACTTCTGTGTGCTGCTCTGCCGCCTCTGGGCAGCCTCCCTCCCGTTGGCCTCGCTGCTTGTCAGCCTCCGGTAGACGGCAGACGGGACCTGAGGTTCCCACTAAGCACCTGGGGTGTTGTTCTCCGCCTGTGGCCAAGAAAAGCAGCCGCTTCTAAATTCAGCAGCCACAGCACATGGTACCAAAGACCTCCCCAGATGGAGAAACTGGAGAGTTGCTGCCATTTTCTGACCTGTTGGTCACGTGGCATCCTGACACCTCCTGGTCTCACGCTGGGACTCACCCGTCCAGCGTCTCTCCCACAGCAAAGCAGAAAGCAGCCCAGGACAACGCGACCGAGAAGCCGGGGGCGCGCCCCAGCCCTGCAGCGGCTCATGCTGCCTCTGGCTCACGTGCCATGTGCTCTTTGCTAATTACGTCCCTTTATGAAATTGGAAACCTTGTGTGGGCATCTGGGGACTCTGGCCTCTCTCTGTTTGCTGCAGGAGCTGTGGAAGATCTTCATGGAACCAGTCTCGTGACCCGCACGTCCGCCAGCTCGGCTCCTCGGCTGCTCTTCCGATGGCTTCTAATAAAATCACAGGCTCCCAGGGTGCTGGGTCAGATGTTGGCGTTGTTTTCATTTGGCAGATGCACCTTATATGACCCAAGACAGCTTTCTGGAGTCAGTTGCTGCCTCCCAGGAGCAGCCAGGGAACGTCACTGCTCCGGCTGGGAGCCCGTTCGGTGGTTTTCAGGCCGACCTGGAATGCGTTGCAGGCTGTTTTGAGAGCTGCTTGGTCAAGTTGGGCAAGTTCTCAGTTTAATTCCACTCGCACTTCCCTTGGGGGCGGACCCAGGGCTGAGCGGGTAGTCCTTTATGCTCCCTGAGCTACCTGCTTACAGATGTGTTCAGTATCGTCGCCGCGGTTACTGTACTAACACCACGCAGTTGAGACACAGACGCCTCGTTTCCTTCGTGGCTGCGGTGTCTGTCCCTGTCCCCTTGGGGAGGGCCCTTGGGGAGGAGGAGGCAGGAGCTGGTTGGGACTGAACGCTCCTGGCAAGTGGCCTTCACTTTCTTGTGTCTCTGTCTGGTTCTTCTTCTGTCTGTGCCTCTTTCCTATTTGTACCCTGCCTGCTGCTCTCCCACTGAAGCACCCTCCTTCTCTCCTTTCCAGTTTGGGCCCCATCTTCCTGCTGCCCTTGGCTCTCCCTGCAGCACCCTGTCCCCTGGCTTGCTTCTCCTGCACACTTTCCTCCGGGGCCCAGCACGGCCCCTCTCTGCCTGCCCCTCGTTGTCCAGATCTCCTGGCTTCTTTCTCCAGCTATCCCTGCCCATGCTAACCTCGCCCCAAGCATCCAGGTGCATTTTCCAGGCCCATCATACCTGCAGTCACTGGCTTATCTGGACACCAGCAGCTCTAGGTCAGCAGCTGGGCTAGACCCATTTCACAGTTGAGAAGACTGAGGCTCCAAAAGGAAAAAATCTGCATGAGGTCAAGGACCTTGTTTGTCCTAATAGCAATATATTCCTGGCATATGGTCTGGCCCAGATGAGGTATTCGGCACATGTTGAATGAATCACTAACGTGAATTACTGCTGGGATGTTGGTTCCTGCTTGCAGACTCCAGGAGCGTTTGGCCATATTTGTAAATATTTTTGGTTGTTACAACTCGGGGAGATGGGTGCTACTGACCAGGGGTGCTGCTAAACATCCTCCAGAGCACAGGACAGTTTGCCCCCACAACTAAGAATGATCTATCCCCAAATGTTAATCATGCTGAGGTTGAGACACCCTGACCTAGCACAGGAGAATTAGCTACTTGAGGAAAGAAAAATGGGTCTTGGCTAAATCTGCAGTGAAGGTGATAAAGAAAAATGAATCTCACCCCTCCACTCTGGGAGTGGGAAGAAAATCTACACACATTAGCTCTAAGTGATTCCCATAATGAGAACTCTGAGGTTCAGAGAGGTTAAGCAACTTGCTCAATGTCACACAGCTGCCAAGTGGCAGAGTCAGGCTCAGAGCCCGCGCCCGTCTGATGCCCATGCCCATGGTCTTCCCACGTTCCCATCGGCAGCAGTGGTGGTGGCATCTCCTGGGAGCTTGTTGGAAGAGCAGCCTGGCCCAGACCTGAGTTGAACCTGCATTTTGCTCAGACCCCAGGGGGTTATATGCACGGTGGTCCAGAAGCATGGCCTTCGCGCGGCTCCCGTTTTCCAAGGTTGCTACTCAAAAGCCATCCCCGATAGACTTGCTGTCATGGAGCCAAGTGGCAGAACACGGCAGGATATATTAATAATGAGTCTTCAAGAGAGAACCCCACTAAACAGCCCCCAGCTGGCCTTGTGCCAGCACCAACAGCGATACTCCTAGCACTCCTGGGGACAAGCCCATAACCGTCGTTGACACCAAGCAGTGGCGTCGCCACACCTCACCTGGCGCATTAGGTCCAGCGCTTTTATAGCTAAGCCTCGCGGCCTGAAAGCTGCCTCTGGGTGGAGCCTGGAGTTAATCTTGACCCACGGTAATTCACAGCATCGTCGGGTGTTCACCTCTCGGAGTCGAAAGGCGCCCTTCTCGCCGTGTTTTACAGCTTTGCTTGAGCCTCTGGAAGTGCTTGTTTGGCCGTGATATTTCAGAATCATCAAACCAGCAAGATGTTCTGGGGAATTGACCCAGGCCGTTGGACTCAATTCCTTTTTGACACATTCAGACATTTCCAGAGAAATATATAGCCCAAGAAGGCGACTTGGTTGTGGAAGCCCGCACAGGAAAGATGTGGTAAAACCAACAAACGGAATGCCCGTGCCCCCAGCCCTTCTCCGATGACTGCATGCAGGTCACCTGGGGTCTCACCAAACTGAAGGTGCTGACTCAGTCCCGGGTGGGACTCGGCCTGCTGTTGAACGAGCTCCCAGGTGACTGGGAGCAACCAGGTGTTCAGGGCGAGTCTGATTTGTCATTCCTGGTTAAGAGCGTAAGCTCAGGTTGGGCAGGCCTGGGTTCAAATTCTGACCGCCATGGACTGGATGCCTTTGAACACATGAGCTGGCCTGTCTGAGCCTCAGCTTCCTTGTCTGTGGATGGAAGAGACAAGGGGAGGCTCCTCAGAGACTTACTGCAAATGTTGTATTAGCTAATTCATGTAAGATGCACAGGGACCTTTTCAATAGATTATAGATATTGTCCTAACAGTTCTTTTGGTTTGGGAGCATTTTTAACTTGTACACTGTGGCCTGCCTGATTTATAAGGCTTGACTGTCACCTGCTGGGGAAATCGCTGTGGCCCAGCTCCACCTACCTCTGTCAATAAAACGGATCCTCCTCGTACCCTATCCTGTGGCAATAGCTGGGTGAAGAGCCGATGGGAAACATCATGGTGAACAGCCTGCCTTAAATCCCAGGCTCCGTGTGATACAACAGGGTCACTTCGGGGGATCTGGGAGCCCCTCAGATGAATAGGCAAGGCATCCTCCACATGGCTGACCCCCATGTCCAACATGATTCCTGTGGGCTACTAGGAGGGGTGATGTGCTGCCTGGGCTCAACCTGTGAGTCCAAGTTCTTCATACAGAGTGAAGACAGAGTGGCTGACCTAGACTCGGAGCCCTGAGCTGGCAGCGGACCTGGCCCTGCGCGACTGTGATGTAAACATCGGGCAGAGAACCAGCCTGCCCAGCTGTGCATCAAGCTGCTGCCCACCCATATCTCGGCCCTCGGCTGCAGCAACCGTATGCGTCCCCCAGGGGTTCAGGGGCAGAGAAGCTGTGTGCAGGGTGCTGGTCCTCCCGACGGGAAGCTGACACTATGTGCAGTGTTTCCTGGCCTACATCCTTCTAGAAAGCCAAGTGAGGGAGTGTGGTGGTAGGTTGCAGCCTTCCGCATCCCGGCAGTGTGACGACCAGCTCAGACCCGATCCCAGGCCCAGCACACGGTGATCCTCAGACACTGACAGCAGGCAGGGGTGTCCACCCTGGATCCCAGCTCGACAGGGAGACCTTCCAGCTGCCGTTTCTCACCGCAGCTCAGCACAGGGCCCCAGAGCGGGTGTCAGCAGGGTTTGCCTGTCCAGCATTGGTGAGCGGCTCGGCCCGCAACACTGGGGCAGCCAGCTGGTGATTTTCAAATCCATCGCTTTTAAGTGATATGATCTACCGATAGACTGGGAAATCAACCCATGGCTTTGTGAATTTTAGCCCTCTGTTAAAACCACAAAGGGCCACACTACACCAGAAGCGAGGGAGCAGGACCAGCCCCAGGCCATGCGTTTGGGTGATGAAAAGTGGCCAGACTCAGGGACAGCCCCGCTCTCTGTCCCCACATGGGCACACGTCCTTGTCAGACCATCTGCGTTCAGTGAATGGGTTTCTGTGTTGGTAACTAAACATCGATGAGATGAATGGAGTGGGTAGGAGAAGTGGAGGAGGAAACAATACCACCATCAGGGAGTGAAGGCCACAGGAAATAAAGCAAACTCAAGTTCAGTGCACACATAAATTAATAGGAAAATCTCTATTGATAGACCGATGCCCTGTCGAAGTGGGTCCTGAATTGGTTTCCCATGGGTAGGACTTGGTGATCTTAAGTGGAAGACTTACAACGAATAAAATCTAACCTTCTTGAGCTGCCCTATGTAGTAAAGCCTTGATTGATGAGAACTCAGTTACGTAAACCTGCTTCCCCATCAACTGCAAGGCTCAAGCCACTGGGCAGTAAGCATAGGGCAGGCATTTGGATACAGGACCACAGCACATCAGCCCCGTCTCCTAAACCTAACACCTGGGCAGTGAGGGGCCACCTAAGACATGACCTCCGGGAAGAAACTTGGAACTGGGCTCCAGTAGAAGGTTCTGTGGGAGATCCCGGTGAATCAAGATGGCAATAGCCAACTCTTCCAGGCACTGTATATGTAAATCCTCCAACACGTGCACACACGAAGGAAGTAGTAGTGACCCATTTTACGGTTGGGTAAACTAAGGCACGAGGGCAGGCCAGATAACCCTCCCAAGGGCACACAGGTGGTAAGGGATGGAGGTAGGATTTGAACCCAGGCAGTCTGGCTCTAGACTCCAAGCACTCACCCAGCAGGCTGGCCCCACTCTGAGCACCACCACCACGGCACAGCTCGTAAATGGAGGTCTGCGGCATGTGTGTACATGTAGCCACTCGGAGCATGGGACAACACCCAGCCAACTGAGCCACACCGGCTAGGGCCCGTGTGGGAGATTTTACACACACACACACACACACACACACACACACATTTTCTTACTGAAAATAAAGATAAAATTTGGTTCATATACACATGCATACACACCCCAAATGCTACCTCTACCAAGAGACACGTGTGGTTTTTAAAATTGTTATCCATATTTCTAGCCTGTTACTTTCTCACAGTGCTGATGGGCATAGTAGCCAGATGAAAGTGTACATCGACCCAGCCACCATGGGTGGGGGATGACTGC